CTTCGCTGCTTTCTGAGCGATCCGACGCTTTGGTTCGTCCAGTTCTGACGATTCCGGGTCTTCCGGGTCTTCTTCACGCTGGGAACTTTCTTCCGACTCCGATTCTCCATCCGACATTTTGTCGTCGCTACCGGCTTCATCCGGTCCTGGATCCTCTTTGTCCTTCTTTGGTTCCTCAGGTGCTGCAGGTACTGGCTCATCCTGCACTGCTGGTGCTGGTGCTGGTTCTTCTGGCACTGCTGGTGCCGTGTCTTTTGGCACTGCCTGTGCTGCCTCTTCTGCAGCTCTGGCTCTCTCCGCGATCTCTTCGTTGGCTTCGTCCAGAATCCGCTGTGCTTCGCGTGACTCCAAAGTACGACGTAGCTTGGCTTTATGGTGCTCCTCGTACTTGATTCTGAGTTCATCACGGTCCGGGGCATCCGTGGTGATAGGTTCTTCTTCCTTCTCCAGATCCACCACTCCTTGAGCTGTCCAGATGTTCTGCTTTGCCTTCTCCGGTTCAGCCTTCTTCTTTGTGCTTGCTGCCTTTCCAGCTTCCTTTGCTTCCTTCCTCCTGGTATCCGCTTCTCCCGGAGATAGGAGGGGAAACGTCTTGTCACCCTTGGCCTTTTCCTGATACTTCTTGTTCCGCTCAGCAACATCCTTGGCCATTGATCCATAGTCGCAAAGTGCGAGCATAGGAAAGTATCTTCGATACGGGTTGTCATCTTCCGCACATCCGGGCTTTGATATTCCTCGCATCGGATACAGTCTCCGAATCTTATGTCCGCGGTCCAACACTGTGAGCATGGCTTCGTACATAAGGTAGTTGAGTTGGTTGAACTTGCATTGCTTCTTCCAATGTCCTCCATGCCAACACAGTGAGCACAGGTTCCGTCCTGGGGGTAGTGATCCATAGATCGTCCTTCCACGCGAGGTTTCCGTAGGCTCGACATCCAGCCTTCCTTTTCCCGCTGGGTGCATTGACCAGGCTTCCAGACCTCCATTTCGTCCAGCTCCTTTACATTCTCTCTTCGAGGGAATGAGTCGCACGCTGTACTTTTCCAATTCCCGATTGGTATCCTCGAGGTCCTGATCTCCGGCCAACTGCCACGGGAACTCGTACAGTGGCTGCGTCTCTCCGTTCCGGTCACCAAATCCTCGCATCGCCAGGCCATACAGCAGTTTCTCCAGGCCTTCTGTCCACTCCTTGGTGAATGGCGGCTTGCTTCCTGGGAGGAACTCTTCTCCTTCGCGCAACGGAAGTCGCTTCCCAGTCCAGTCCTCCTCGTAGATCCGCTCTGTCCATTCCTTTCCAGGAGTTTCTTCCGGGGGGCTGCTTCTTACCTCTTCCGGACTTTCTTTTATCCCCAAGCTTCTTCTCTTTATCCTCTTCAGTGCTTTTGGGGTCATGAAGCTTCGGCATCTTCTTTGGGTTGGGTTCTTGTACACGAGTCGTCGACTCGTATATTCCTGCCAAAAGCTCCTGGAGGGACTTTTCCTGTCCGTACTGCACTGCGGACTTGATTGCTCGGCCCATAGCCGTTTGGAGTTTCTCCGAGGCAAGCAAAAACTCCTGTTGAGCCTTTTCCAAGCTCCGGCACCTTCCAAGCCATTCCTGCTCCGAGTTATGGAAACTCTCCGCTTGTTCGCTTTTCCTTCCGCGCAAGCGGTCCACCACTTCTCGAGCTTTGTTACGGTACCATTCTTCCGCTGAATCCAGTGCTGCTTCGGGTACCTTGGGCTTTGCTTGTGGCTTGTTCGCTTCCTGAAGTGCTTTAGCCCTTTGCTCGGCTTCCTCCACTGCTCGGAGGCGTTTTGCTTCATCCTCTAATGCTCGTTGCTTTTCCTTTGTTTCAGCTTCCAAGATCCGCTTTTGCTCCTCCAGATCTGCAAGCTTCCTCTTCCGAGACTCTGCCTCAGCCTTCTTATCCTCTTCTTCCTTGAGAGCTTCGAGTCGTTCTGTCTCTTGATCCTTTCCTGGGGGATCATAATAAGATCTGGGCTTGAAGTCCCGATTGTTCTGCAACATCTGGCTGTAGAGACTACGGAAGGGGGGCTGATACTCCCTGTCCAGGGTAAACCGCTTATACTCTTTCTCAAGTAACGTAACGTTCTCAATCGATCCTGCCAGTTCGATCGCTTCTTCCAGCTTACGTCGGACACCTTCAGAACCTGGTGCTTCTTCGGGTTCTTCTTCCAGCTTCCTCTTTGCTCTTTCGGACTTCCTACTTCTCTTGGCCTCTTTCCGGGCACTCTTCTTTTCCTTCTTCTTCTCTTCTCGGGTCTTTCCGGTAGATGCTGGAGTCCGTGCTGGTGTTGAACCTTCTTCCATAGGCTTGACTCTTTCCGGGGTCTGCAGCTTATCCAAGACTTCTCGCCTTCGGCTTTCTGCTGCCTGCTGCATCTCCTGCAGGTCTTGAACTCGCTCCAACATAGCACTTTCCTGCGTAGGCTCCATGTTTGGTCTTCCAACTGGTGGAAGGGGAAGGATTTCTGTGTACCGGGTACTCTTTGCTCCGTCAGGTACAATTCCTTCCGACATCCTGGAAGTAAATACTCCCATACACAGGTTTCCTTATCCTCTTCGAGGGGATACAGCTGCGGTTGGATACTAAGGTGAGACATGTTCATCCATGTGCAACGTGTTTCCTGCACACTTCCCTGACTCAGCAAGATACTCATACAAAATCCAAACAGAATTCGCAAGAGGTCCTTGTACATCTTCTCCGCGATCACCGTCATGGCAAATACAAGGTTTCTACTTTCCAGTTTTCCAGGTATCCTCGAATACTTCTTCCGGTTCCAATCCGGGTTTCCAAGGTTTACTTCTTCCCACGGGTTTCCTGGATCTTCAGGCTCTCTTGCTCCGCTACCAAGTTAAACTGTAAAACCCTGAGCGGTCACGCTTTTCCTGCTTGAGTCAAAAGGCGCTGCAAGTAAATATACCGTAGCCTGGGCTCACAAAGGTGTGGGGCAGTTCCTATGTACAAGATTTAACAGACTTGCAGACTACGCCGACAGAGATCGTTCAGCCCTTGTTAAGTCTCAACTAATACAGCCGCTCAGATGCCCCGCTTTCCAGTAAGACTGGGTAGCGCAATGGCGTGCACACATATGTAGACCACTTGCCATGAGGTGGGCACAGGATCCAATTGCATGCCAGCAAGGCAACAGGTGCGCAGGAACTGCTTTCCCAACCCCAGCTTCCCAACAATTGGGCCTCGCAAGGGCGTTGGGAGCAGCACCAAGAATCGAGGGGCGAGCCAAGCAAGGCCGGATCGCGAGAGGCCGCACAGCGGTACCGACACAACCACAGGTGGCGACACGCTTGGATAAGCGCCACATAGTCGAAGTATCGATGCAAAAATGAAATTTTCTCTGTGATCTTTCGAACGCCTGCAGATATATGCACTTCACCATGTGAGCACAAGATACATACCTGGCCATACATACTGTACACAAAAGGAAAACGTTTGGTGCGCAAAAGGAAATGTATGCATGCGCACATCGGTACCAAGTTTTGCACCCCGCCAAAGTTTCGGCGTAATGTGCAATGCAGTCGACACTTTACCAAAACTCACATGTGACATGAACTGCACCAGAACAAAGCTTCACTGGCCAGGCACTCGCTCACACAGTTCAGCGCATCTGCAGGTTTCCACACAACGTCCACGGGTACACGATGCACATTAGCATCGGCAATGTGAAACTACTTCTGCCTGTCTAACCTCATACCTTTGGCACCTGGTTCAAGCTGTGTGGATCTCTCACTATCCACTGCAGAGATTGGGATCCTGATTCAGATCCTTGCAATCATAACGATTTGCAGAATTCGGATTTGCACGATCGGGTCCGGATCACAGTATATTGGCGCCAAAATGGCGCAGGCATTGCAGCATGGAGCTGCACAGCACACTCAAGTTTCAAGGAAATGCCGATTGGCACACAAGTCAAGTCATCATGAGCATCGCACAAGTGTGCATTCCAAGAATTCAAGAGTCTGCATGATTACACCTTGTCACATCCACATGCACCTGATTTGCACACATCAGTCGATCTGGTAGATCCTCGGAGGATCTCTCTCGTGTCGCATATGTGTTTGTGCACGCTGGCGGCAGTAGAAGCACACAGGGAAATTGCGATACGGCCATAGTGTTTCGCGGTCATGCTCGGTGATGCGGATCACCCTTGATGCATTCATTAGCCCTTGGCACGTCCTGAAGATATGCACACGGCGGCCTGCGATCGGTGCAACAAACCATGACATGTGCGGAACCACATGCACAAGGCCTTGCACTGCTATCTCAGCCTGCCCCTGAGGCGCATCATGAACATTAACTTCAAGATCATCATCAAGGTCTCCGATCACTGCTGTTGGAGCATTCTGCACATCCGTGAAATCTCCATCTAGTGGCTCGGGCTCATAAGATCTTGGTCCAGCTGGGCCCGGCTGCCCTCGCATGAATCCCTGATCATCTGTGCTGCTTGCTGCCTCAGGGTCGCGATCGAACCCATCCGTGACATCACCAGTGTCACCACCGACCTGTGACGTGCCATCGTCACACTCACCAACCTCTGACTCGGGCTGATCAGACGCTTCACTCAAGGCTGGCTCATCAGTGCCAGGCGCATATTCACCATCCTGCCTCCAGGAGCTCCACAGATGCTGGAAAAGGGATACTCCGAGGCATATGCACACTAACTCGAAACCAACCAAGATTATCAGCGCAACTAGGATCCCGGACCAGTCTACACTAATAACAACCTGAACCCACTGTTGCTCGCTGCGACATCCTTGCAGGAGCACGGTGCACATAAGGATAAAGGTCATCATGATATAGCTGCCATAGCGCGCGGGAAGGCTCAAGGCGTTCGCACAGTCTATCGAAGTTGCAGTCACACCAGTAGGGAAGGACAGCAAGGCGGCAATCATGATTTGCCGAAGCTGCTGCTTTGGCACTCTGCCAGCATGGTGGGCTTGACGAAAGCGCCTCACTGCCTCCTTCATTGCATCCTTCTCAACTTGCGCAGTCATTTTCGTCCTCACCAACATAGCGTGCCTCAGCCTCATCATACACATGCAACAGATGCTTGAGGAACAACGTGCGGGCGCGGCTCAGCCCCTTTGTCCCAATGTTTGCTACATTGTAATCCGTAGATATCTTGTTTGCAACTATGATGCCCTGCTTGACAAGCAGCTGCTGCCAAAGAATGCGAGTGGAAAGATGTCGAATCTTCCCCACGCCCTGGCGCCGGAGCGCGCCCAAGGCGGCAGTGCTGTCAACGTGGTGCTGGATGAGCGGGCTCTCATCAAACCCTAAAGCAAACTTGACACACTCACGAACAAGCATTGCATCGCTCAAAACAGAAGCTGATGCTAACAGTTCAGACTCCTCTGAAGACAAGGCAATAACTCGTTGCGTGCGCGAGCTAGTCGATAGCACATTTGCACGGACTGCAATCACGCCTGCCGATGTTGACTTGCGACTCTGCTGGTCACCGGCCCAGTTGGCGTCACTAAATGTCTCAACCACCACATCGTGATCAAAGCGATCGCCAAGTAACCCAACACCGGTTCCACGATTGCAAAGCATCAGGCCTTCATCACCGATGGTGTTCATGTACATAACAAGATGCCGTAGGCCTTTCATGCTAAGCTCGGTGGGCGAGCTCATTCGTGATGCAAGCATGTTGATGCTATACTGACAATCGATGCAATCATGGGCAACATAAAGCAGCACTCCGACGCAACATCTGAACAGCTTGGCATCTGCTGGGCTCAATGGCTTGGTGCCATCTAACTTCTCCAGGTCACTGAAGAGTGGCGTTTTCTTTTTGGCTTCAGGCCTGATGTTCAAAAGTCTTTGGAGTCGTTCTAAATACTTCGGGCGCGGGCTCATCAGAAGCTGGTCCTCAGAGACCAGGTGCAACTTGCGCTTCAAGAACCAGAGAACATCACCTGGGTTCTGCAACACCTCGAACTTGATCTTGTACTTCGCAAGAAGTGCGGGCTTGAGCTCATTGTTCGCATACTTCAACGTAGTGAATGACAGCATGTCATCAACATGCAATTGCATCACACTCTCCAAGCCCTTGGTCCTCAGAAGCGTGGGATATGCTTCGCAAGACTCCACACCCAAGCTTGAACTAAGGTGCTGCAGGAAAGAGCCATACCACTTCTCAGATCCATCACGTTGCCCTGGCAACAGCTTGCCCAAAGCAAACCTGACCTCAGGACCTCCACCTGTCGGGCGATACACAACCTCCGTCGGCACAGTCTGATCAACTGTAAGGAATGCATCTGACACATCGATGGCGACTAGGCACTCGTCAGGCGCGGTGCTCGTAGCATACAGGATTGGAAGGTGTCGGTTGAGGAGACATGAAGAAGCTGGTGCAAAGGTATCCGACCGTTCGCACAACCAGGCAAACTCCCTTGCAACGTATCTGGCACGCCTCAACCATATCGGCTTGCCTTGGTGCACTTTCTCGCGCCAGTCCTTTACCATGCGCGTTGTCAGGCGCTTCACTTCACCAGTACTGCGGCCCTCCAAAGTGCTTGGATCAAGGAGGACTGAAAGCTTCTTAAGTCTTAAGGCGCTCAATCTCAACAAACTCAGCAACCAAATCTATCTCATCTAGCTTGTCCTGTGGCAGTGAAGGCGGGTCATCACCACTACGTGGGAACATCAGCCTTTGTTCGTACTCAGACAGATCAACTTGCTCAGGCTCTTCCCACTCATCACTTTGGAGGTCATCCTCCTCAAACCCTTCGACAAGCTCGGACTCAAAGCACAGCTCGAGACTCATCCTCATGGCCGTACTCCTGCACGGCACGAATCGACTCACCAGGAAAGAAGAATGGGCACACGAGCGAAGCAGCAGAGAGCTGCACGCGGTTCACATCCCCGCCAGGGCCCGGTGCTCCATTGTCTACATACCCGACGCCGGCACCATCTTCCGCAACTGACATGAACGAATCATCGGCTGACATCGCAACATCACTGGAGCGACGGGAGCTGCTGCTACTGCTGGGTCTGGGGTCTTTGCCACATCCTCTGGGCTTGCAGCTCCTTCATGCGCAACCTCCTTGCCGTCACCCTCACCTGATGCAATCACTGGTCCACCTGCAACCTCAGCAGGAACTGGCACAGGTATCGGCGCAGGCGGCGCAGGCGGCGCAACACGCTTGGCCAACACAAGCTGCGATCCAAGCGATGCTAGGCCGTGCTCCCACACACACTTGTCGACTGACACGGCTAGGTCAAGGTCCCACGGGTTCGCAAAGCGGCGCACTGAACGGGTCACGAATATTCCCGCAGCTGTGCCGATTATGTGCACATCATTTCTGCATGTCTTGCCCAGCCAGACTCCCTTGATCCACTGGGCTGAAGCTTTGGCCGTCTGCAGGAAGCCCATAACCCGCTCGCCGAAAAGACAGATGCGGCCTTCATAAGAGGAGGACCGAACTCGCTCAAATGCAGTCTCATTCTGAAGGACCCTGAAGCGGTTGAGGAGCCAACAAGCATGCAGCACGGACCACTGAATCAACGGGTGACCAACCTTGATCACTTCCTTCGTCATGCCGGCACCTTCCTCAAGTTGCGAAATCAGAACACACGCATGCTGACGCACACGTTGCAAAGCTTGCTCAACCTCGCCATTGGACTCATGTGAGCCCACGGGGCTCGTCTCAGAGGTTACTCCAATGTTCAGGCTTCGGAGGGCACGTTGCAAGTGGTGCATGACATGAAGAATCGGCCTCTCATTGTCCGACTTCAACTTGACACTTGGGTGTCCCAACCAGCATATGAACCTGGCTGCCTCAGTATCCAAGAACGAGGTTGCAGCACCTGCTTTGCTCTGCGTGGGGATGGCAAACACAGCTTTGCTCGCACGATCAACGCAAAATAGCACAGTCAAACTGTCCTCGCCGACCTCAGGCTTCGTGCTCAACAGACTCTGGCCCTTTCGCGATAAGAACCCAAAGTCAAACGACACAACAGCATTTTCTGAAGAGGTATGGGGCACTGATGTTGCATGCTGATCCTGGCGTGCTCTGTGGCGAATGCATATCTCACACCAGGGCTCGTAAGGTTCATGCGTCAAACAGTGACGCGCCCTGGTAGCTGCATCAGGCTCGGAGGCTACGGCCGGTGTGACCGGATCACGGGCCCTCGAGCTGTCCAGATTGGCCTCAACATGCTTATCAATCAGCAGCTGTTGTGAGTTGATGTGATTTGTCAAGCGGCGCCAAAACTGACGGCGATTACCGGCCTTACTCAAACCAAAGCTAGTGCAAGCAGCCCTGAGGACGGTAGCCGAAGACTCACTTGTCACTCTGACGCCCTCAATCACAACAGTATCAGCTGGCAATTGACCATCTGGGTTGTCCGGAACAGGGTCTGCTTCACCTGGTGGGGCCGGACCGGCCGGTGCTGGCGGTGCAACAGGCACCTCGGGAAGAGACAAATCCATGCCATCATCAGCTGGCGCTGCTGAAGGCGGTCCGAAGTGACCCTGAACCAAAACCCGAAGCCTCGCGCACACGGTCCACTGCCTCGCTGCCTACGAAATCCCAAACCGCCTCGGAACACCCTGGAGCCTAGGGGGGGAGTGCCCGGCCAGTCGTCGCGAAGAGGGTCCGGACCTGGGCGGGAGGAGAGGCAGGGGAGGAGGGAGGCGGGGAGGGGAGCGCACACAGACACTGCCTGGCGCCTTCCAAAAACAAACCCCGAAACCTCTCCTGCACTCCTACCGAAGACCCTCCTACAGCAACACTCTCAGGTCCCCCGCCCGCCCCGTCCGCCCGCCCCACCCAGCCCACCCTCCCCCCCGGCCCGGCTTGAAGCAGAAAGGCAGCACGGAGCACAGAGTTGAAGCAGCACTTAAAGGGCCGGTGTGGTTAGTAAATGAATAACAGACTTGATATAGTTAGCTATCTCTTGTATGTTAAGTTATAAATGAAGTAAGTCTGGTTATAAGTTCAGCAACTATGCTATGTGGAGAGGTATAACTTACTAAGTGTTGAGGACAAGATAGTATAAGTAGTGTAAGTGAATAAGAGACTTATATATGTTATAGGTGTGAGTTAATAAGTGACTTACAGTAACTCAGGTAAGTAACTTAGGTGACTTAGGTATTCGTTTGTAAGTCAGATAATAAGTTGAATAAGTTGACATGGTCTCTGGCCAGGAGATGATGGGAAGGATGTTTTTCTGCACGTCCAATGAAGTTGGAAGCTTTCTTTGCATGAAGTTGGAAGCTTTCTTTGCATGTGAGAAAAATGATGCGAACCTTTCTTGCTGTGCTCAGAGCATGCGTGCATATGAGAAAATGATGTAAACCTTTCTTGCTGTGCTCAGAGCAATGCATGCAGGCAGGCATGCATGCTTCCCATATACGCTTTGCAGGGCCACCGGCTCGCAAGCAGTGTATGCATGCTGTTGCTCAAGCTGAGTTTTGAGTTTGCGGGATCCTTGCAGTCTTGCTTCGGTGATCTTCGGTGTCATCGACATGTCCCTTTCGCACGAAGTGAAGGTGCACCTTGGACTTTCTCAGGAAGAACCACCTGCTGTCGACCATGAAGCTGGAGCCCAAGCTGGTGGGGGTTCACCCCAGTAACCGAGACGGTTACGGGGTGAACCCCCAGGACGTGCTGGACCTTGTGGACAGCATCATCGATGTGGGGTTCGTGAAAGGCCGTGTGCATGCCGTAGGCGTGGAAGTTGAAAGCCAGCACGTGAGGGACTGGAACTCCAATCTCTTCGCTTCGGCAAACGGGGGCCTCGGCTCCATGGAGCCGGATCTCCTCAAGGTGACCAGCATCTGCGGCTCTCACACCAACTCGGCCTTGCGACTTTTTCGCGATGCCGTGCCACACTCCAACGAGCTCGTCTGCACCGGGGGGCGGTTGAGCATGGAGATGCTGAAAACCCGCGATCCTGCGTTTCACGAAGCCGCGACTGAAGGCTTGTCGTGGGATGTAATCTCAGCAGCCGTCGCCCGCGAGGTGCCCGAAATCCTCGAGCTAGTCTCCAGGTCGGGCAACACCTCCCTGCAGAGGGGGGAGCATGAGCTCCAAGTCCTTCGCCGAATTCATGGCCTCTACTGTAAGATGCAGGCTTCGGGCCAGACCCCCTCGTTTGCTTCTCTGAAGAAGCAGATTTTGTCGTCGAAACCGAAGTGCTGTGTATCCGTCCCTCACATGTACTCCTACTGCCTGAAGGCCAGCGGGGGCCAAGAGGCCGTACATCTCAAAGAAACAGAGCTCTTTGTGCGGGCATGCTGCCCTTCCTCAAGACAGCTGGGCCCGGATCTGTGGCAGGCTTTGTCCATGGAGATCACGGGGCACAGCTCCGAGGCCGTTGCTTGTTTTCGCAACGGCCTGGTCAAGTCGGCATAGGTGCGCCAAAACGTCTCTGTGGGGGACTGCCGGAAGCTCGCTGCGAACTTCACGAAGGTGAAGGAAGCAGACGAGATCATGTTGGCTGTGCGGGCCATGCTAAAAGAGCAACTGGGCGAGTGGAAGGATGCCGGCCTGGTGAAGGCCCTTGCAACCATGGACATGTGCATGTGCGGCATGGTCCTTGGCTTGAAGCAGAAGGGCGAGAAGGACTACAGGACCTTGCAGGCCGTGGCCCATGATTTCTGCCTTGTGGCCCAGGAGCTCACTGGGAGGACCCTTCCCTTGAAATGGCAAGGCTTCGCCGAGGCAACAGCAGCACCTGCAGCGGCAAAGGCATCGTCGTCGAGTGCACCGGTGCTGCTTGAGTTGGATGAGCATGGTGCAATCAAGAATCCGGTGGGTTTGCATTGGGCAGCAATGTGAGGAGGCGAGCTGACAAGACCACTGGCAAGATCCAAGATGTGAAAGGCGGCCTTGTGTACATCCAGTTGGACTCCGGCGACGTCGCGAAGGAATCCATTGACAAGATTCTGGGCAACGAGTGGGCCGTTTTCACCCCCAAAAGTGAGGCAGAGGTACTGGAAGATTTGAGCATCTACAGCCCTTCAACGAATGTTGAGCTCCAGGCCTTCATGCTCCAGGCAGAGATCGCGAGGCAGCTTCAGAAACTTTTTGATGAACAGTCCTCTGGCATCGACAAGCTTGCCTTGCAAACGAAGCCCCAGAAGCAGCTTCAGGCCTCGCAGGACATCCCCAAAGGAAAGGTGACATTGGTGCCATTGACGAGCAAGACCCTCCACAAGGGCTCCAGCCAACCGAGCTGGTTCGAGGTGACGACGGACTGGACGATGGATGCGAGGAAGTTCTACCTGAGCTCCTCTTGTGTGCTGCCCAAGGAAGATGATGACAAGATCAAGCCTCTCATTGTCCCGTTTTTCTTCGTGAACTACACAGAGGACGAGGACGAGGCCAACGTGAAGTTGCAGCCCATGCAAGCCGAAAAGTCTTCCTCCATCAAGATCCCCGTCTTCAAAAGCACCAAGAAGATTGCTGCCGGGGAGGTCGTGTTGTGCTATAAGGCCAAGGACCTTAAAGCTCCACCCCTCCACCTCTCCCCCAATGCGGCGAAGCGATCGTCGTCCGGCGGAGTGGCAGTTGCAGCGAAGAAGAAAGCGAAGAAGTGAGAGGCATGTGATTTCTAGATATGCATCATGTGCACATGTGGATGCCAGCGGTTTTGCTTTCGCTTGGCATTGGCACGAAGGCCCACCCGGGCACAGCCTCATATGGCAACCTGACACCATGATCAGGCGCTTTTCAGGCTGCAGGGTGGCACGATCGGCATAAGCAGACGTCCAGCTGCATTGGTTCACAGAAATTGCGGTGCTTGAGCATGTTTGTTTTCTCTTGACTTTTGCATGCAAGCCTTGATTCAGTGCAGCATCGAATGCATTGTTGCAGCAGTGCATGCAGGTTTTGCACTTGATTTGTGCTGGAGCCGCCTCAGCAGGGCAACATTGCTCGCTTGGCAGGCTGTACATCTCAAGCACAGACACAGTGAGAAGCTGTTGAGTCGCCATGGCAGAGGATCCAACTTTCGAAGTGGAGACTCGCAAGATCATCTTTTACGGCAAGCATGAGTGGTGCCCCACTCAGAAAATAGTAGAGGAGCGAACCTTTTTCTCCTTCACGAAGTGGTCTGCACAGCTGACTCGCATGATGACCGGCAAGCGACTTCAGCTTGCGGGTGGGCGGGCTGCAGAAAGTGGTTCCTTTAACGTGCCAGTGATCGGCAAGATCGTGGAAGCCCGGCAGTCGGCCTGCGACAAAGCCCTTGAGGAAGCTCTGAAAGTTGAGGATGGGTCGGGCGACGAGGATCAGCAGCCGAAGAAGAAAGCCAAGAAAACCATTCGAAGGGCATCGGCCAAAGACCTCCACCTCCTTCCTGAAATAGTCGACGTGTCGGTGGCTGAATTCCAGATGTCCCTGCTTTCGGAGGGGCTGCCGACTGGAACGATCTGGATGGAGCTCCGTCCCGAAAACCTCTCCTGGCTCAAGTCTTGTGTCGACAAGGAAGAGGCAAAGCCTCGTCAGAAGAAGGGGGAGGCCAAGCCAAAGAAGTGATGCCATCATGCTGTCCGGGAGGTTCAGAGAACCTTATATATGTGGCAAGTTTTGTGCAGTCTGCCATGTTTCAAAAACCCATGTGCATGCACTATACATACGTGCTTGCAATGTACAATGATGAAGATGGAAAGTTCATGGGCAGGGTGGGTTCTGAAACCTGCTGGCGAGCTTGCAGCCCTGCCTGCGGTGCGACACACGAGCTTGCAAGTCAGTCTCTGTGTGTGTCCGTGTGTGTGTGTGTGTGCAGTGTGTGTGTGTGTGTCTCTGCAGCAGTGGCAGGTTGCACCTTTCCGTTTGCAAGGTCATGCACTGCACATGTGCGGCATATATTGAGCTGTGATCATCAGCTGTTTTTCAGCTCAAGTTGCTTGCCTCCCACGGGAGGCTGGGTCCTTTTTTTGCCATGCTGGCTTTCGGCTTTCTGAATGGCCACATGCCCACGGCGGAGGAGGCCATGGAAAGAGTGATGCACGAGCTTGTTTTTGTGTTTCTGTGCTTGCAATGCAGGCGGACAGCTTCGAGGCCTGCGGCCTCAACGAGCCGTTCACCTCGAAGGCCAAGGGCAAGTGGTACAACGACAAAGGCGGGTTTGCCCAGCCTTTTGCAGAGATACGGAGTTAACAGACAAAACCATGCAGGAGCCGGGATCAGCTGGTCTACCACCATGGGGTGGAAGATCCTCGGGGCTGGAGGTGCCATGGGCTCTCATGGCGGGGTTTCGGGGTTGCAGGGCTGAGGGATTCTTGCATCAACTGGCAGGAGAGATCCTTTGGACCCACTCGGACAAGAAGCGGGTGGATGTGCCGACCAGTGGCTGGGTCTACTGGGACGGCACAGCCGCTGCGATCTGTGTGGAAGGCACATCTTAAGATGACATATAATAGTAAATATATCTATTTATATATATATATATATATATAAATAGATATATATATATATATATATATATATATATTTAGATATATGTGTCTTTACATGTATATATGTATAAATGTGTATATATACATATACATATATATATATACATATATATATATATATACACATATGCATATGTATATATATATATATATATAGATATATATATATATATATATAGATATATATATATAGATATATATATATATATAATGTATACCATATCATAAATCACTTTATAGAAGAACTGCAAATAGAATCTATATAGATCGACATAGATGAATATAAACCCTAAACCGAAACCCTACATAAAACAAAACCCTTATAAACCCCTGAAAAAACCCTAAACCCAATATGAACCCTAAACCTACACATGCCTCTGGGCAGGACACGAGGACTCACCAGTCTACGAGACGGCGGAGGTGGAGGATGACGAGGAGGAGGATGCAGGCCGTGCACGGTTTTCGCCTCTTGCCCTCCTTGCAAGTGTTGTGCATGGCATGTGAAGGCGGGAAAGCCGCCGTAGTCCTAAAGGCAAAGCCGAAGATCAAGGCCTGCAAGCGAGGTTCTGGAGTTTCTTATTGGTATATATGTGCCATATAGATATATCTCCTTTGGCAGGACCAGAAGAAGCGGCCCATGGAGCCGGCAGATCCGCCGCCAAAGAAGATGAAGGCTGGAATTAGCAAAGGGTGTAATTAAAAGGTTTGGCTTCAGGTTCCAATGTCAGCCTATCTATATACATATATAGATAGGCTGACATTGGATCTTAGATTAAATTAGATTAGGTTGCTTGGGTGAAATTAAATGGGTATACATTAGGTTATATAAAGATTATACATAAGTAGGTATGTAGCAGCTTAGAAAGCTTGTAGGTTAAGTTATATATAGTTTGGATTAGATTATATAAGACATAGATTCACAGATACACAGATATCTGTAGATCCTGTGTACATATATATATATATATATATACATACATATATATATATATACATATAAAAAAATATATATATATATATATATATATATATATATATTGTAGATGTCTAGAGAGGATCGCAGGCAGGGCTTCTAGGTCGCTGGCAGGCTTCCTGTGTAAATCTTAAATATTAAAAACCTTAAAAGCCCTGTATAGAAACCCCCTATACGGCTGGAATGCCTTCCTGTGCGCCAATTTGTGTGACTTCAGTACAGGAACAAAATGTTGAGTATAGGTGCACTTTGGCATGTCCGGGCGGGCGATACGGGGCACAGCTCAAAGGCTGGCGCTTTCTTATCGGAGGGGAAGACTTAGATAAGATGTTGGGTTTCTGGATAGAATATAGGTCGGGAGGCTGCCAGCATGCTCTGTCTCTGACATGATTATACATGTCTGAGAGAACACTGTACTGTCAGGGGCACGGCAAGATGGCCCACGACGAGGCTCGGGTCCAATTCTTGAGCAAGCCCGTCCCAACAAATAAAAGTGATTGTGCAGGAGGACGAAGAGGATGGATGGGACCAGGCCGGCATTTCTTCTTGGCTTGGAAGCATGCAGGGTTCTGTGCGCCACGGTAGGACAGAAAGTGGAAAGGAAGCTCCAGTGCAGCAGGTGCACCGAAACCGATTCATTATGAAACCCCTGCCCTTGCAAGCCTTCTTTGTTCTTGATTATTTGGACAGGATGGAAGAGGCCCATGCCGAGCAAGGGCAGAGGCAGGTGTTTGGGGAGTCGAGGTCAGCCGAGATTATAGCTTTTATTCTGCCGACAACAGGCACTTTCGAGCGGCCTTCCAGCAAGGGCGGGCGGCCACTACGTGGCCCCCCACGACATCGATGAGAATGGGAAGGCCGGAAGCATTGCCACTGGGCCGGATCGTTCGTTCCAGCCTGGCAGGCTTGCCCTCCGGGTGGTGGTCGGACCCGTGGCCGGACCCGTGGAGGAGCTGCCATCCGCTTGATCGAGGCGAAGCAGCAGGCCAAGGACAGCACCCAGCACTTGGAGGACACCCTTCTTTATTTCCCAACGAAACTTTCGTAAGCGCGTGTTTCGGGGAACCCTCAACTGCGCTGCAGTGAAACCCTGTGCAAAGCACTCCTTTTTTCTCCTAGCGGATATGGGGGGTGAGTTCGGACCCGATCTTCGGGCAACTGTACAGAGAGGATGGCCACTGGCATCTCTCGTAAAGACGACCGCTGGTCGCAGGTAAGGCGAACGACTCGTCCACCCCCCTCCTACCAGGGAAGGAACCTGTACCACAGGATTCTTCTGTGTGAAACAACCAAGAGAGTGACTGACCCTCAGGGTTAGCACGGAGTACTCCTGACCGTCTACGGACTACGTACAAGAAGGTACACTGTACCGCGATAGACGACTCACTCACTGAGTGTGGCAGGGGACGGAATGTCCACCCCTCCCCCCTCCCTGAGGGAGCCTGTACCACAGGATTCTTCTGTGTGAAACAACCCAGAGAGTGACTGACCCTCAGAGTTAGCACGAACTACCTCTGACAGTCTACGGACTATGTACAAGAAGGTGGAAGGGACCGCGAAAGACGACTCACTCGCTGAGTGTGGCAGAGGACGAACTCTCACAGCACTGTTGCAGGACGTCCGTTTGGCTAAAACCTGCATACTATACAGGAATGCCAACATATAGAGTTGAATGGCTCACTGAGCGTAGTACTTGACCAATCTCACACAGCTCTGCTGGAGATGGTCAAAACGCATATACCTGCATACTATACAGGGTGTGGTGGGCGGGAGAAAAATTTTTAGGATCACAGATCCTATCTTCAAGCCGAAAGCTGCACGGCAAAGTGTTGTCTAGTGTTCTCAACACACAGAGAAAACACTGTTTTCCTTTTCGACAAACTTTGTCTACACTTTCGGCGGGAAATAAAACCCATTCACGCGCGCATGATGGACGCTTATTTCCCAACGAAACTTTCGTAAGCGCGTGTTTCGGGGAACCCTCAACTGCGCTGCAGTGAAACCCTGTGCAAAGCACTCCTTTTTTCTCCTAGCGGATATGGGGGGTGAGTTCGGACCCGATCTTCGGGCAACTGTACAGAGAGGATGGCCACTGGCATCTCTCGTAAAGACGACCGCTGGTCGCAGGTAAGGCGAACGACTCGTCCACCCCCCTTGAAGGCACTCGAAGCCTTACCCACCCCCCATTTAGACCGCGTCGAGTGACAGAGCCAACGGCACTGCGTTGGGACGCAAGAACTGGCGCACTGCACCAAGCTTGCGAGTCTCTTCCCACCATTCTCTGCTAGGACTCGAAAGAAAGCCGCTCTGCACTGCAGAATTTCCTCTGTGAACTATCACGGCCCCTTCCGCTTTGCGCGTGAAGGCCTTGTGTAGAGACGAGAGCGCTGCAAGAGCAAAGGAGAGGGCCCTTATTAACCCGCAGTGGCCCTTACGGACTCGCAGTGGGCCCTCATACCAAAAAATCAGCCATTTGCAGGCGATTTAAGGACTAAAAGTATCTGCTCGCACTGTGAGACAGGTGCCGGAGAAAGGAGTCTGCACTTGTGCCTCCTAGAGCTGAGAAACGGCGGCTGCTGCACTGCAGCAGCGAACACGAACGGGTGATACAAGCCCCTTCGTTGCTTGTTGCGCGGCAGAGCAGCGCACTGCGCCTGATGTGCAATGTTCTTCCCCTAGTCTCGGTCGGGGCCAGCAGTGCAAGTAACATCAGGCTCTGGGGCACTGCGCGGCACTGTCTTAAGGCAACACAGAAGCTCGTCATTACTAGCGCGAGCCCACAGAAAAGAGGCGGGCAGGGGGCCCTTAGCAGCACGCAGGGGCCCTTAGGGACTCGCAGCGGATCCTTACACCAAAAGGTTCGCCATTTACGAGCAAATTTAGGCCTGAAGCCACCTGCCCGCACTGTGAGTCAGGTGCGGTAGAAAGCAGTCTCCACCGGAGCCTCCCAGAGCTCAGCACGCTTCAACTGAGGCTGAGCAGATAGGGTGGAACACGAGCTGCTGTTTCTGCTCTTTAGCAACCCACTGGATTGCAGTCTTTGGCGCGCTTTGCAGACTTCACGAGAAACCGACGCCTTCACCAACGAGCACTCGGGGTACAAACTGGGAACTTCCCATGTGAGCACCATCGATGTTTGCATCTACGTCCTGCCTGGGATGAATGGACGCTGTCCGCAGCGGTCCGTGTACTACACGCTGTAGCAAGAAGGGATAGAGCCAACTGCACTGCGTTGGGAGGCAGATATTCGCGCACTGCGCTTGATCTGCTTTTTCACCAGTCTCTGCTGGTGAGAGCAGCTGTGGCAGCTCTCCCTCCTTAGTCTGTTGCACATGTTACTAAAACAAGGCGCCTCCCGTTTGACTTCGGCGTCCACTGACGTCCTAAGGTGGCTCGACGGTACCCGAAGGTTCGCACAGCGGTGACATAACCGGGGGTGCTGCGGTGTGAAGCTACGCGAAAGCCACTGGCTTTTTCCAGCAACTAAACTGCCAGATTCCTCCCAGGAGTTTTACAACTGCCTCACTGAGGCTGAGGTCAGTCGATGCACCGCCCTGGTAAGTAACAGATCTTTGGGGCACTACCCTGGCGTATGGAGTGAAAGCGTTACTTTCACTGCTGTTCGCGCGCCAGTCGCGCCGCCAAAGGCGGCGTTGAACCAGCGCTGCAGACACTGCAGGGCACGGCGCGGACTCCGCGCAAGAGTCCCAAGCGGCGTGGTTGGCAGCACTGCTGTGCAAAGGGCTAGGCAGGCGCATGCTGCCGCCAAGAAAACCGCATGGTTGGCCACTGGGCTCTCGCTGTGGGGCCCTTAGGGACTCGCAGCGGGCCGTTAGGGACTCGCAGTTGACCCTGGGACAGGAAAGTCAGCAAAACGCGACCGACCATTTGAAGTGCGATTTAAGCAGCACCTCGTGTGACGGCGCTTCCGGGCAGGCCCACTAGGCCTGGGGCCTGGCGGCTTACAAGGCCAGAG